CCCAAGCGGGGTATTGGGGTTCTGGGTGGGGTGCGGGGGTCCCAGGCAGGGTGTGGGGAACGCAGACGTGGTGGCTCCGCAGTTTGCTGGGATTTATTTGTATTTTGGGAGCCCACCTTATCCCCCGGCTCGTCTGGGCCTGTGGCAGTGGTGTCCGGGCTTGGGCAGTTGTAGCCCGCTTGGCATCAGGCTCCACAGCCGCAGTCTCAAATATTGGGGCAGAAAGGGATTTTGGGATTTCGCCAGCCCCGCTTGGGTGCCGCTGGTGTCGGCAGCGGTAAGTGTTGCTTATTGTTTGTGGCCGCTGCAGGACGGAGCCTCTGCTCGCCTGCCGCTGCTGTAGGGAGTTTTCTTTTCCCCTCCGTCCCACAAAGGGCACTTCAGCAAAGAGGGAGGACTGAGGAATGGTGTCAGGAGAAAGAAACAGCGGTAAAAGAGATGCGTGAACATGTCGTGGTTTTGGAAAGGCTGGGAAGCTGCACTTCGCTACCTTTGAAGACTTAGTAATTATTTTTTTTTTAATGTAGGCTCTTGCATGCTGTTTATCTGTTGCCCTACTTCTAGGGAGGCTGGGTAAATTTTGCATTTGACAGATAAGTTCATTGAGTTGTCTTGGATATCTGAAGCCTACAGTTTTGTCAGTGTTATTTGGAACGTGAGGAGGGGAGGTCTGCACCCGGGCGACCTTCACCCGCAAGGCGCGGGTCTGGGGTGTTCCCGTCAGCTCTCTGAGCCGGGTCACTGCTCTGCGTTGGGGAAGAGGCATCCAAGGGGTCTGGAATACTTGGGAAGAGAAAAGCTGAAGTATATATGTCCGCCTGCGCGTGCTGTGGGAGGGACGGGAGGCTATCTTTGTGTTTCCCCACGTATATAAATCTGAAACAGTTCTTCTGAGGGGCTGGATAAACAGTCTAACCTTAGATCAACGCTGCCTGCTCAGCAATTTAATAGGAAAGTAACACAAATGTTATCAGCAGACTATAGGTTTTGAAAAATAAAAGGATTTAAAAATCATTGTTTCCCATTGTTAGCATTTCAGTTTCTTTGAGAATGAATCTGGAGGTAGAGGAAAAGTTCCATTCTCTGTGTCTGTATGGATTCTTTGCCTTGTTTCACTTTAATTTTTGTGGATTTCTGCCATTCAAAAGTACTGTGACAGTCCATGTTGTGTTGATAGAGTTGTACTGATTGGGAATTAAGGGGTTTGAAAATCCACTTGTAGACAGGAAAATGTTATGTGTAGTTTGGAGCTTTTATAGTGAAGTATGAACAGAGAAAAGGAGTTGCTTCTCCCCATGCTCCTGCATTTTGACTGAAGCTGTTGGTTTGGTTTTTTTGAAGCTCCATATTTAAAATACTTATCTGATAGGAATTGACCGATTTATATTACTACTTTAAGAGTTGTGTTTAGGGTAATTGCTTCATCTTCCTTATATTTATTTTATTTTGTGCAGTGTATCACATATATTACACTTTGTTACTGTGGTACCCGAAGTACGGTGGCTAGTTGCATGAACCTAGGTGGAAAAGTGCTTCTGCTGTTGAGAACGACAGAAATGCCTGCAGGTGCATTTAAACCATTGTGCAAATAACAAGGAGTAAGAAATTATATTAAAATAGCATGCTTAATAGAGGTCAACAAATCTATATATTTTAAATATCTGGGGTCATAAAGGTTTCTATTGTCTAGAAAGTGCATTTGGTCATTTTAGAGCATACAGTCAGCTAGCTATAAATGTTCTTTTAGCCCCCGGGTAGTATATTGGTCCTTACAGACTGCTTAATTTATCATGCCCATCTCTTTTTTTTTTTTTTTTTTTTTTTTTTTAAAAAAGGGAGACTTCTAATTTTGTCTCTTTATTCTTAATTCTTCTGTCGGTGTTGCTATTTTGAGATAACTGGAAGTCAATTTTTTTTTTTTAAAGAAAGTTACTTCTGACTTTGCTTCTATCACTATATGGTTATCAAGTTCAATGGTTTTCTGTAGTGCTTCAATTAATCTCACAAATGACTGTGCCTTAACTTGCTTTCTCAGCAATGAGAATCAGCTGCTTTAACTAGATGTGGGCATTTCTTTTGCATCTCCGAAAAGTAGTTTAGAAATAAAGTTCCTGTTGCTTGAATAAAGAAGTTGATGGGGTTTATGTTCGTGCATGTGTGGTTGATGTTGGCAATTGCACAGCTGAATCTTGGAGCGAGGTCCGTGATGAATCCGAGCCGCACGTACAGATTACTGTGCTGCAGGAGCTTGCTTTGTTACTTTTAACTAGCTCTTCTTCCAGTGCCCTCTAATTAGCTGCAGGTTTTTCTGTTGATTGTTTGGGGTTTTTTTTCAACAGAGACTTATAAATAAATCAGGAGCTCTGTAGAAAGGGATAAATATTTTATAGTCTGGCCTTTATTTGCTTCCAATGAGCAGTGGTACTTTGCTATGCTTCTTCAGTTTACATTACGTTTGCTGATTTGGAAGAATTCTTGTTGACTGGATTCCCCAACAAGGAGGGAAAATGTGAAGCTACAAACATTTTTCCATACTTGTGAGCTTTTCAAAAATAACTTTTAATATTTCATCATTCTGACAAAACTAAGAATGGTGTATTTTTGTGGTAGAAGTTCTACACATCTGAAATTACACGCGTTTTAAGAGGGTATATTACCGAGGAGCACTCTGTACTGACAGCCTCGCAGCCAAAACAGCTATTTCCATAGGTGAAACCAAATGCAGCCAAAATCCAGTTAATTCACTGGGCTTCAGCCCCTGAGTGGAGAAAACAGCTTTTCTGACCAGCACCGGAGTTCAGTCATGGGTCCCTCTGTGATTTTCAGTCAGCTGTTTGTCTTCGTGACGTTAATATTTGTCTGCTAGAAGTGGATTAAAAATGACCGGATTGCGCACCAGCCGGTTGAATAGACCCTGGTCGCAGCGTGAACTGAACCCAACCCAGAGAAGCCCAGCACTTGTTTTGAGACGAGGTAGCGTGCGTCTGCACAGTGCTTCAAACAGAGAAACCAAAAACTGGGGTGACTGAGGATGATAACACCTGGCCCCGTTGGAAAGCATAGGTGTGTGTTAGTTGTGGAAGGAGAAACTAGCATGTGGTGGTCAGGGTAAAAGAAAAAGCTTCAGTATTAAGAAGATTCTGAGTTAGAGGATGAAATGAAGAGTAATATAGGTTGTCTTGGTGACCGTGTAACCTGCTGTCGGTATAGTGGGTAGGTGCAATTTGCTTCTGGATAAATGCATAATTTAAATTCCTTATTTTATCTTAGTACTCACATTACACAGCTCTTTTATATTTATAAACCAGGTTGGCTTTCGGAACTTCCTGCAGGTTTTGAAAAACTGTCTGCAGTCATTTATGATAGCATTTTCTCCTTTACTCTTAGGCAGTTTCTTTTATATCCACCCTCATGCTGAGGAATATTGAATGCCTATAAATGTGCTTCTCTTTCATGGTATTTTGATGTAATAGCTGCCTGGGACACTGAGTGAGGTTCTTGTTTGGTAAATTACTGCTGACGTGGGTTTCTGAGAGTTGCTTGCAAATGAGAGTTTTAAACTAGGACCTTTTTTGCTGTCTGGCAGCGCAGCACCTGCTTCTGTTTGAAAGTGAGGGCTAGAGATTTTCATTACGATTTCAGCTGAAATTTTAACAGTTCTTCCTCCAGGCGCACTTGGCCCTTGATACTTGAATGAATATTTTTTCCAAGGCACTATTTTTCTTGTAGTTGGATGTAATTGAGAAAATAGAAACTCCATTATTTTGTGATACTTAGCGTTTCAAAGGGAGGGAAGAATGCAGGAGTGGCGGGGTTTCATGGGTAGTTTGTTTCTCTACAGAAAACTGTTAGTAAGCAGCTGAGAACTATTGTCTGGTGCGGTTAATGGTCTTGCTGAATCAGATACTTCCAACAGGAGATGCTTATTCATTCTGCAGTGCTTGAAGGCCTAGCCTACGCTAACAAACTGACCTGTTACCAACCTGCGTAGGTGCCGAAACTCTCTTGTGGGTGATGTCGATGAGTCAAAGCCATTTTAGTGCTGCTGTGGAGGATAAGATCTATTTCTTCCTAGCTTTGCAGCCTGTGACAAAGCTGACGGTGTTGGTGGGACTCTCCGGTGCTTTGGGGGATCCCTGGGAGGGGTGGCCTTTTCCCTGTGGTGGGGTTGGGTTCTGCGAGACCTGCAGGAGCAAGATGAATACGCTGACCAGAAGGTGGGGGGAGGCTTTGGGTGGTGGTGCTGATGTGGAAGTCGAGGTAGCTTTTTCATTCATTTACGTTTGCACTAAAATTACAGACTTTCATGTACCCTTTTTTCCTCCTCTAGCTTCATGTTTCCTGTCGCAGGTGGTTTAGGCCCCCCTCAAGGTATGTATGAACTTAACGTTTTGAGCATGAAGTTCTTTGTTTAGTTATGTTAAACAACTTAAAATAGTTCTGCACTGATGCTCAGAAGTGTGATTATTAATTGAACTCCATAGCTGGTTTTCCCCTTGAATTCAGTACTGGTAAGCTGACTCTTATAACTCTATTTATAAAACTTTCTATGCAATGTTGAAGAAGCAGTGTTACCAGAATGCTAGATGAAAGATCTAGGAAAACTAATCTCCGTTTTTAACCTGAATTTGCCTTTAAGATTTTTGTGTTATTTTGAGTGTGGTATTTAACCTCTTTATGCTTCATCTACCAGCTGTGTATACCCATATTGTGTGGGTGTTGCAAGACCTGGTAAATATTTACAAAGCACAGCAAGACCCTGGGACAAGAGTCACAACCTGTGTGGAAAGTATTAATACAATAGGAGAGCCTCAGCCTTAAATTACCTTTGTTCTCATTCCTGTTGCAGTGCTGTTTAATTAATGGAAAATA